ATTCCCATTGAGTCTTAGTCTTGGAAGGGGGTTTGCACTGAGGGGACCCGACCACTTGCCTTGATGTTTCCTGGGCAAGCATGTTGCTTGTTCTTGTAGTAACAGTCGTTCTGCCTATGTTGTTTTATATTTTTCCTGTAGGTCTTTCTTTCAAGAAGTATCTTCTGTTCTTCTAGCCACTCCAGGTTGGTTCTTCATATTACCCTTGAACAGTGTCTTAAATTTTTATAACATCAAATACATATTACCTCTGTTCTAATATTTAACTCCCCCCTCAAACCCATACTTACGTATTAAACTCTCTATTGTGGCTTATTCCTATCTCAGGTTATGATAACGTACTCTTCATCTACCAGTCTAGAAACTTACTCTTCCTTTCTTCTTTATCATCCCTGCTGTTAGTTGTTATATATCACTGAGTCCATTTCAACTCATTGGAGCCTTGTAGGACAGAATAGAACTGCATCATAGGGCTTCCTAGCTGAAATCTTTATAGGAGACATCACCAGGTTTTTCCTTCCATGGAGTGGCTAGTAAGTTTGAACCACTGACCTTTCCATTAGAATCCAGGTAATTAGCCATCTTTATGGTTTCATTTTTCAACATGCATAGCTGGTTACCTTTCATCTGAGCTTAGGGATTTCTCATGAAATACTTTCATCTGAGCTTAAGGGAAAGAACTCTAATTTTTCTTGAAATATTTTGGAATTTATCCAAAACACACAGTATCAATCTTTGAGTCCCCAATTAGGTTGTAATATCCCTACCAACGTGGGGGTTAGGAGGAAGTTGTATCTTAATATGAGGAGCCTTTAAAAGTTTATGGAAAAATGGAATTAAACAGTTCCATGAATTTTTTGAAGCCCTCTCGTAGATAGCCAGTGAAGGTGGCAAATAGAATGATTTCTCTGTTCCTTTTGAGAAGCTTTTTAAGAACATTTCTTTGCGGCATCCATCTTTTGAGGCACAAGCCACACCGTAGTAGTCCTCTAGCTTTTTTACATTCATGAGCAAGTCAGGGGTGAGGATGGACATGTAATTTCAAGAAACACTCTTGCCTTTTTTTTCCTTTAATGTTTCTGTTCGTTTTGTGTTTGCTTTTTTTTATTATTATTATTTCTTTGGTATTTATTCTTTTGCCTTTTGCTTATTCTATAAGTTATTCATTTATTAAACCTTGTTGGAGAATGTGCTGTTTCAAATAGTATGCTTTGTTGTTGTTGTTAAGTGACATCGAGTCGGTTCCGACCCATAGTGACCTGGTGTAGGTTTCCAAAGAGCAGCTGGTGAGCTTGAACCACTGATGTTGCAGTTCAAACGACTTTGCAGTCTGGCACATTAACCCACAGCACCCCACCAAGACTCCATACTTAGTGCACTGAAAATTAAAGAAGACAGATCCCTATTTTCAGGGAGCTCACAATGAAGTGAATGATGCCAACAGATAAACATTACAATGTATGAGAAGCCACTAGGTGAGTTTGAACCGCCAACCTTACATTTTTTGTCAGTTAAGATCACCAGGGTCTTAACATTGCAATGTTGTCATTGCTAAGTGCCGTTGAGTCAGCTCTAATTCCTAGCAAACCCGTATGGGTTTCCAAGGAGTGACTGGTGGGTTTGAACTGCTGATCTTGTGGTTAGTAGTCCTAATGCGCCACACCTAGACTCCAGCAGTGCAGTAAAATATGATAAATGCCATGATAGAGTTTTGCCCATCATACTGTAGAAATATTGGAGACATCTTTTATTTTATTGTGTTTAAGGTGAAAGGATACACAGCTAATTAGGTTTCCTCTTAACAATTTCCGTACAAATTAATCCATGATATTGGTTACATTTTTACAATGTATCTTTTTTAAAGGAACTCATTACTCAGTGAGTGATGTTCCAATCTAGATTTTGTGAACCAATCTATTATTTAGCTAAAAGGTGACCTCCAGGGATAATTTTAGTTTAAGGTTTAAAGAGTATTTCAGGGCAACAGTCTCAGGGAGACTGTCAGGTGACAGGACTCAGGGAGTCCTCTAGTCTCCTCCACCAGTCCAGTAAATCTAGACTTTTTAAGAATTTGAGCTCTCGTTCACATTTTTCTCTTGTTCTGTCAGGATCCGTCTATTGTGGTCCTAATCAGAGTGGCTGGTCATGGTAGCCGAGCCCCATATAGTCCTTCTGGGCAGGGTACATGCACATAGACTATTAGTCCTGTCGGTTTCAGTTTCCTTCTTTCTCTTTTGTTCTGAGTGAGAAGAGAACCAATAGTTGTGTCTTAGGTAGGACAGGCTACTTGCAAGCTTTTAAGACTCCCAAGCACTACTCACCACATTGGTATACAGACTTTATGAACTATGTTATGCCAACTAACTGAATTGTCCCACCAGAGTGTGGTCCTAAGTTTTCAAACCCAAAAACTAATCTCATGAGAAATTTGGTTATCTCTAAAAAGTATCCATTAATCTCCCCCCTCTGTAGCTTATTAAACATAAATATATGGGTAGCCAGAGTGCTCCTTGGAGGCCAGGATGGCCAAACTTCGTCTCTTATACTTTGGACATATTGTCAGGAGGGACCAGTCACCGGAGAAGGATATCATGTTTGGTAAGGTGGAGGACCAGAGAAAAAGATGAAGATCCCCCAGTGAGATGGACTGGCCAAGTGGCAGCATCAGTGGGCTCAAGCATGGCAACAATAGTGAGGTTGGCCCACGATCGGGCATTGTTTCGTTCTGCTGTGCATAAGGTTGTTATGAGTCGGCACCAACTCGATGACACCTAACAACAACAACAATATATGCATGTACATATACACCTGTATGTACATGTTTCTATAGATACCTCTTTCTGTGCACAAATATGTACCCTCATACCCATAAATGACTGTATACATATTTGTGTAAACACACACATCACTGGCTATTATGATATTGTTGCAAAATTTTTATTTGTTGTATCCTTTGCCAAAAGTATTATTTTCTGCACTTTTTAGTGACATCATTTACCTTTGTCAAGTTGTGTGCATCTAAATATATAATCACATCATTGCCGGTGTTCTTGAACAGTCTGACTTCCTCCTGAACCACTGTACTGAAAGAATTGCTATCACATCACCACGTCACCGATTACTTATTAATTGCCAAGACCCTTGGCTTGTTTTCGAATGCTTCTCTGAGCAGCTGACACTGATGGATCACTCTTTCAGAGAAAGTGCTCTTTAAGTTTGAATTTAAAAAAACTCTTCCAAGTTTGCTTTTCTTTTCACTTACCAATGAGTTCCTGTCTTGTAGGATAATATAATGAGTAGCAAAAATCAAAACATCTGCCAATTCAGAAGTCTGGCACCCCAACCTTGGTAACATATGAGGGGCATGAAATGCCTGATAAGTCATAAAGAGTTAATTATGTGAAATATTTTATTTAATTAGAGCTTTATGAGGCCTTAGATTGCTTTGTTTTAAAGATATTTTTAGAATAGGCAGTCCTTTGCAGATTAAACAGAAAATTTGAGATTTCTGTAATAGCCACCTCACGAAACTTACTCTCACTGAGCTCTGGTAATGTGGTTATGAATCATGCTGCTAACCTCAAGGTCAGCAGTTTGAAACTGCTAGCTGTTCTACGGGAGAAAGATGAGGCTTTCTGCTCCCATAAAGATTTATAGCCTCCGAAACGCAGTACAGGGTCGCTATGAGTCGGAACCAACTCCACGGTTTTGTGAAACTTTACACAAGTCCACCTTGTTGGACTTTATGTTTCTCATCAAACTAGTGCAGGGAATGTATTAGATGATTTATAAAATCTTTGTTTTGTAAACTTTGTATCCTATGTCTAACATTTGTTTCCAAATTACTTACTTTTATGTAGAACTCACATGGTCTTCTGAAGAAGTCATGGGTAGCTGTTGTAGCTGTCCAGATAAAGACACTGTCCCAGATAACCACCGGAACAAGTTTAAGGTCAGTAAAACTAGTTGATTGATCTCTCTCATTGCTGCTTGAATGGTCTTTTCTTTCACTGACTACAATTTACCTCTTCACTTTTATGTTTATACCCTTTATCTTCTCTTTTGAACCACTCTGCCTTTTCTTGTTTAAACAAATGCTGGTGACAGTCTTCCTCTTTCATCATTCACTAAACTGATCACTAAAATGTCTTTGGTGTTTTGCTATCTATTAGACTAAAGGCTATGATCCTTAATCATCCAGCTGTCTAGTGTATCTGGTAATCTGACCTCAGTCTTATAAAGTATGAACAGACTTACTATAACCTTGTTATTTCATAGTTTTGACCTTCAACAAGTTACGTTATCATAAACTTGATCCATTTTTGAACAGTGGAAAATAATTACTTATTTTCCTGCAATCTAGGGTTGTTGTTGTTAGATGTCATCAAGTCAGTACCAACTCATAGCAACCCTATGTGCAACAGAATGAAACACTGCCCAGTCCTGTGTAAATCTCAACAATTGTTGATACATTTGAGCCCATCACTGCTGCCGCTGTGCCAATCCATCTCATTTGGGGGTCTTCCTCTCTTTATCCAACCCTCCATTTTACCAAACATGCTACCATACTTCTCCAATGACTGGTCCCTCCTGATAATATGTCTGAAGTATGAAAGACAAAGTCTGACCATTCTGGCTGTTTTTCCAGCACTCTTCTTTCGGTAATCCATGGGCCTCTTAATATTATCCTCCAACACCATAACTCAAATGTATCAATGTTTCTATGGTCTTCCTTATTCACAGTACAGTTTTCACATGCATGTGAGGTTATTGAAAATACCATGGCCTGGATAAGCCACACCTTACTCTTCAAACTGACATCTTTACTCTTGAACACTTTAAAGAGGTCTTGTGCAGCAGATTTATCTAATGCAATAAGTTTTTGATTTCTTGACTGAGGCTTGAATAAGTGTTGATGGGTGATCTGAGCAAAATGAAGTCTCTGACGTCAATCTTTTCTCCATTTATTGTGATATTATTTATTTGTCCAATGGTGAGGATTTTTGTTTTCTTTACGTTGAGGTGCAACCCATATCGAAGGCTGTGGGCTTTGATCTTCATTGTAAGTATTTTAAGTCCTCTTCGCTTTCAACAAACAAGGTTGTATCATCTGCATATCACAGGTTGTTCATCAGTCTTCCTTCAATCCTGATGCCATGTTTTTCTTCATATAATTCAGCTTCTCAGATTACTTGCTCAGCATACAGATTGAATAAATATAGTGAAAGAATACAACTCCGGTGCACACCTTTCTTAATTTTAAGCCATTTCAGGGTTCCTCCTTGTTCTTTTCAAACAACTGCCTCTTGGTCTATGTATCCTCATGACCATAATTAAGTGTTCCAGAAAACTCATTCTCTGCAATGCTGTCCATATAGTTTGTCATGATCCACACAATCGAAAGCCTTTCTGTAGTCATTAAAGCACAGATAGACATCTTTCTGGCATTCTCTGCTTTCAGCTAAGATCCATCTGACGTCAACAATGATATCCTCATTCAATGTCATCTTCTGAATCTGGTTTGAACCCTCTGGAAGTTCTCTATTCAAGTATGGTTGTAGCCATTTTAAATTTATTTTTAGCCAAATTTTGCTTGCATAGGATATTAATGATATTATCCAACGATTTCTGCATTCCATTGGATCACCTTGCCTTGGAATGGGCACAGATATGGATTTCTTCGAGTCAGTTGGCCAGGCAGTTGTCTTCCAAATTTCTTGGCATAGATGAGTGATTACCTCTAGTGCTTTGTCAGTTTGAAAGATTTCAGTTTTCATTCTGCCAATTCCTCGTGTCTTGTTCTTAGCTAATGCTTTCAATGCACCTTGGACTTCTTCCTTCAGTATCA